TCTTTGATGAAAATTAAAAAGATATTTCGTAATATAAAATTAGATTACGATATATATCTTTGGGTTAAAAATCTTGACGATACAACATCTTCCATCTATAAACAAGAGAGCGAATTACTTCAAAATTTCAAGAAATCTATCTTTAAGCGAGCAAAAAAAAAGAAAATAAACATGTTCGAAATTAAACCAATTGTCGAATCGTGTTTAATTGTTCTTAATCGATCCCCAGAATATCATTCCCAATCTCCAAATTTCTGTTCAGTATAAATATACCAGACAGGAAATTTTCTGGTTATCTTTTTTTCATTAATACAACTAAAATGGATTCTCAATTAGCTTATCATTTTAATCTATTAATCTCTGCCATTATCAATTTTTTTATTTCAATTAATAATATATATTTTTAATACCATTCTCATTCAACATCTTCCCCAAATTTAATCGATATTGATATTGAACAACCTCTGAATTATACGACAAGACACAAATCTATTAATGATTTTCTTGAAAAAAATTGAAATATAAACAAATACAAATTTTTTTTAAAAGCAAATGATATCGATCGTGTTAATATGAAACACCAATATATTCGTGGTCTTAATAGTGGATCTTGTTGGAATTGGTATAACTCTTATTCGCATGATTGTAGTACGGCATGTAAAAAAATATCTTCACAATGCCGATGTATTTATATATGTGGATATACATTTCCTACTGGTCAACAAAATAAAAATAGTATACATACACAATTCAAAAAGTGTAAATATTATATGTCAGATATTAATAATATTGAATATGATTGTTTGGGTGTTGTAAATAATGATGAACATGTGACATTATTTATTAACGAACAAGATGTTCAAAATTTTTCTATCAAATGTTGTTAATTTTCTATTTTTATATTATTCTTTTTTAAAAATAAATAATAAATAAATATATTATCCGATTAGTGTCATTTGCACCAATCGGAAAAATAAATTCGTAAAATGTCTTCTTTATGCCTACGCGCTTTGGAGAAT